GGGGGGGGAACCATCGTAATAAGTCAGAGGACAGTGTGGTCAGAGGAGGGAGCCCTGCTGTTAACCTCCTGTTAGCTCCGTGTCCAAGGTCACACTGCGTCGTAGCCTGTCCCGCTTCCCCGTGAGTGGAGATAGCGTCTGTCTGCCCATCGAGGCTGTTTGTGAGGCTTCAGCGGCCTGACACATAAGCCAGGTCTCGGGCCTCCTCGGGCCTGTGACTGTAAAATCAGGCCGTGTGTTCATGTCACATCTATGCCTCCTCAGCCCTCAGTATTGCCAAAGGAGTCCTCCCTCCTCCCTCCCCAACCCCTGAAGTCACCTCGGCTGCACTGCACCGAGTAACCCTGCTTTTAATGTCAAAAACAAAGTGTGACAGTCAAGTAAGGTCACACATGACTTGGTGTGAGCTGTGAACTGGCTGAGAAGCAGCCCTGCAGCTTCCAGGTTGTCGCCCACTGGCTGGGCCGCGAGAAGCCTGGATGTTTGCTGAAAGGCCAGTCCCCGCGAGTACGTGGAGTGACGGGGGAGGGCCATGCCCCGCTTGCCCACTGTTTAGGGGGTCCCCTCACCTCCCAGAGCCCTGGGTCCTTGCCTTTGTAAGGATTCCAACGAGCTCTGCTTAGTATCCCCCAGACCTGTACCCACACGTCTCCTGTCACCACCGAGTGTGTGACGGGGACCCCTGGCGCAAACACTGAGGAATCTGGCACCAGCCCAACGGCCTATGGAGCGACCCGAGCGTGCTGGTGGGTCGCCTCCCCTTCTCCGGTCCAGTTTTGCTCTTTCCGTTAAGCGGATGGGTTCAGCCCATGGAGCTTTTACAAAGAAACCTGAAGAAAACTTTCTAAACGCACGTTTCCCTGCCGACGCCTAGAGCGCAGGAGCGGTCCCCTCGCGTGTGGCCTGACACGCACTCGCCGTCGCCCTCGGGGAAGCGCGCAGGCCCCTCAGCCCCTGTCCCTCCCCCTGCAGCCGCGAGCAGAGCAGCGACGAGCTGGTGATGGACATGCTGTGCGACCTGCTGAAGCGCCTGCCGCTGACGGTCGAGAAGGGTGAGGACACCGGGTCACAGAGCACGCTGAGGGGCGTCATGTCCGGCCCCATCTGGGACACTCTGTACAAGGGCCTCAGAGGTGAGCCCGGGGCTGGGGCAGGGGACGGCCCCAAGGCTAGAAGAAATGATCGGAGCGGCAGCTCTGCTTGGGGCCCTCTGATGGGGACAGCCGGGTCCTGGGGACCTGAGGGCAGGCCCGGGGCACCCAGCCAGCCTGGGTGCCAAGATCGGCTGCAGGCCCGGCTCTGAGCGGCTACAGTGTTGGACTGTGGCATTTTCCCGGGTAAACTTCCAACATCCGTGTTTAACCCGTTAAAAAGGATTCGTTTGGGAACCAACGTTGAGCAAATAAGTACGATTGTTGCGTCCAGATCAGCGGTC